GGACAGGAAATAGAACTCTGAAACTGGTATAAATAGATCCTCCCCCTTCCCATCAGGCAGTCTTAGTAACTAGCTTCACATCTTATAGTATATGGGTGGGAACGTAATGCTGCCATGAATAATGATCAGAAAAAGAAAATTACGGTAAGTATGAAGCAAATTTTCCTTTTTTCCTGACATTATTCATGGCAGCATTTACTCATGGGGAATACCCAAGCAGTATATATCGAGGGAGGGACAGAGTTCAAAAACAGCCAATAGCTATAAAACCATTATTGAGCTGCATAAACCTTAGAAGACTCAAAAAAAAGCCAAACAAGACATCAATAGGATGTTGTCATACATTCTGCTCAGACAAGTTAATTAACCTAGAGGCTGCAAGGTCAGCAACCTCCTGGCATTCAATATCTGAAATATCCTAAATATAGTCAGATAGGAATTAAGGCCATGATAGCATAAGTCAGAGAAGGATAATGCCATTTTGATATAAAATTTTAAAACCAAATTGATGACCTTATCAGATCAGAACCTTGACAAAAAGGCATAACAGAAGGTTGGATGAGAACATACACACCATGCTATTAAACATGGCGAGAATTACACTGAGAATCTCGCAACTCTCTGGATGTAATTATTAATGACGATTCACACTGCTTCCTCTTGCCTTGTGAACTACTTACCTGTGGATACAGGAAATAAATCAATACCTGCCTGTCAGAAAGAGGCAGAGCCTAGTAGAGAAATAAGTGTTATTAAAACACTGCAATAATGAATGAATATATATATATATACATACACATATATATTGCAAAAATCAGACTCACAACAATACCTCACACCGTGGATGAATTGATACAATAATGATCAGGCACAGGAGAGGTATAAACCAATGACATTACTAGGCAAGGGCAAGAAGAGTCATATACAGATTAGTTAAAGAAAGAAAAAAGAGACATCGGTATGAACCGTGGAATTTGTGTAAACTCCTAAATTATAAGTAGGACAATCACGTCAGTACCTACATTCAAAGAAACATTGTAAATAGTACAGATTATGCCAAACAGTATAATCAAATTTATTAGAGACCGTTGTGTAACATAAGTAGGAGATATGTAATCGGCAGGATACTGATGAGAAGGTGGTAACCAGAGGCACATGATCCATTGTGGCAACCGACACATAATCAGGATAGAAGATATTCAGTTATCCTTATGAGAACAAACAACCGCATACTTACTCTTACCTTATCTTCAGATAGCGAAGAAGTACTATGGCAGAGCTTATGGCGATAATAAGCAGTTTGTATTATTCTTACCTTATCTTCAGGTAGCGAAGTACTATGGCAGAGCTTATGGCGATAATAAGCAGTTTGTATTATCTGCAAGATATCAACACCAATACAAGTATATAATCCATAAGTATTAAATCAATGCAATGTTAGGAGTGACCATAACTTATACCGATCTAGGTACAGAGACCATGAAAAACATATCAGTCAAATGTTTGTCATCAACAAGCTGCATTACATTATATTATGTAGGATGAATCAACCACTTAAAGCCACACCTCGGTTGCAAATTCCAGATATAAGGACCACTAGAAGAATCCCCATGAAGATCAGAAGAGAGGACCGTAATGGAGTTACCTGTTAAGGGATTTCCTCTATTGTTCTGATAGCAGGTGAATTTTACTTGAAATAGTAAACCTGGTAGAATGGCCTGAGGACTAGAAAGACCTTCCAGTGTCAATTACAATACTTGCAATACTAAGTATCAAAAACTTACCTGGATCATATGAGCATAAAAGAATACATTTAATTGCAGAAAGGAAATTATAATATACCCTTTCACCACAAGGGAATCTTGTCAGAAATTTCTGAACATTAATTCCTTAAGAACAAAAAGCATGCTACCCCTGACATATCCTAAAGGGATTGCCAAACTCTCAGGTCCCCAAGGGATAAAAGAGAATACTGCATATAAAAAATTAGTACATTCTCCAAATTATAAAGATTATACTTTAAGGAAAGGTACGCAGTTCTAAAGAATATGTTAAACCAATTCCAGAGAACCAGAACCAGAGCACAAACCAGACCAGAAGTAGTGAATTCTTCAGAGTAGAAGTTTGCGGAAAAATAAAATGATACTAAAGTTATGACCAGGAGAGAAACAAGCCAATATGAACAGCTTTTTAAATCAGGTAATAGCTTCAGAGTTACCTACTTATGAGAACGATTAATAGCCCAATTTGTGCTCCTGCAACCAGCATGATCTTCTAAGCTGTGCATCAGTAACAGCATATATCTGAAGATAAAACACTGCCACCAAAACATTCCTTATCTTGATAAGAGAGGAGAGGATACTTGGCAATAGAAAAACTTCTCAGAAATGGTCTCATGTATAAATACATAGGAGTGCACACAAAAAGGCCTTAATTTTGTTAAACAGTACCATGCTCCATTTTGGAAATTCAGGTCTCCTTCTCTCCTGGGAGAGGCACTCAGACAGGTTCAGTAACACCTGCAATCCATCTGAAGTGGTAAAATGTGTTAATTGCTTATCCCGAAACACCTGTGGGAGAAGGAATCTAATACAAAGCCAAAAGCAGTATGTTTCCTTATCCACTTCATTTAAAAACTGAAATAGAAAATCCACAGGAGGCAATAATTACTTACCCAGTATAACAGTGCATTTGTATTTGCTAAAATTAGGCAGTGCTACATTTCAGCGCAAAACCCAGACCTTAGATCATTTGTATATATTAAATATCAATGCCGTGTATAAATTAGGGTTATCTAATACTACCAACCTGCATACAGATTATGTGAATCACATACATTGTGGATGTTTCTAACAGCAGCTTATACACAGATATATCAGTTACATATACTGAGTCTGTTCAAATAGTAATAGCGTACCTCTGCTATATACAGTGACACTATGCCTGTACACATATTGAGATTATATGAGTGAGATAAATTGAGGCTGTTTTCAACAGAACTTCATGCACATAATATACCACTCATATATACTGAGGTTGTGACTAATAACCCACACAAAAAAAACCTGTATTAGATTGGACTCATAGAGGATGTGTCATATATCAGTCACATATATTGTGTTTCCACTAATACATCAAGCATATAGTGAACAGATCCACTGAAGCAATGTCCACACCAACTTACATATAGAGCATGTTGAGACATATACTGAGGCTATGTTTTTAGAGCAAATAAAGAACACAAACTGAGCCGAGACTTCCGATCATCTCATACGTAGACAATATAGTGGATACATATACTGAGGCTATGTCCTCATAGTAACTCATACACAGAGCCTATAGTGTGTACATATACTGAGGCTGTGTCTTCATAGTAACTCATACACAGAGCATAAAGCGCATACATAAACTGAGGCTGTGTCTCCATAGTAACTCATACACAGAGCATAAAGCACATACATAAACTGAGGCTGTGTCTCCATAGTAACTCGTACATATGGCCTATAGTGGACACATATACTGAGGCCATGTCCTCATAGTAATTCATACACAGAGCATATAGTGCATACATAAACGGAGGCTGTGTCTCCATAGCAACTCATACATTTATCATATAGTGGATACCTATACTGAGGCTGTGTCCTCACAGTAACTCATACATAGAGCATATAGTGCATACATAAACTGAGGCAGCGTCCTCATTGTAACTCATACATAGAGCCTATAATGGATACATATACTGAGGCTGTCTCCATAGAAACTCACACATAGAGCATATAGTGGACACATATACTGAGGCTGTGTCTCAATAGAAACTCATATATATATCTCATATATAGGATACTTATACCGAGGTGGTGTACTCACAGTAACTCTTATATAGACCACATAGCGGATACATATACTGAGGCCGTATCCTCCTAGTAACTCCTACATAGAGCATATAGTGGATACATATACTGAGGCCGTGTCCTTATAGTAACTCATACCTAGAGCATTTACTGGACACACTCTGTTCATATGTTAGAGCATAAAGTGAAAACACACCGATGCTGTACCACCACCAGATCATGTATGGATACTGAGGCCCCGTGGTCTCATATGCAGTATATTCCTCCACTCTCTGGAAAAGCCTGCTTATTTGTGATAATGCACAGATATCAGCAATCAATGCCACATATCTTGATAGGAACAAGTGTGTGTGTGGACTTTAAAATCATATACATGTGAGTACTTCAGTCACCCAGGGAAGTTCTCTTACCTTGGATATTTCTTCAGGACTGTGAAATTCCAGCAGACTTTATACAGCCAGGATATCCATTATTAGCACTCTTTTTCACAATGCCTTATTGCATCATAAGCACTCTTTTGCACAATGCCTCCTTGCATTATCAGCACTCTTTTGTACCAAGCATCCTTTCATGTATAACTTACCTAAATGCTCACCACACAAACCTCCTAAATGTGACCTATTTGTTAGAAGGAAGCCTAATGTAAGCCGCTGGGAGGGACTGAAAGAACAGAGACCCAGGTGCCTATACTAGTTTTAATCTAATTACAAATGCACTTACCTGAACAGCTGCAGGCCCGTGTTTCAACAGCAAAATGGGGCTTTGAACAACTGACAGCCTAAACTGTTTAAACTATAGGCTTCCATCTGTACCCCATATGCAGTCCATCATCACCAGTGGGAGGAGGTTTAACCAACCCCATACAAGGTGGAACACCAAGAATAGGTATACCCAGGTAGTCACCTTATGGAAGTGCTGTTTACTGGGTCTTCAAGAATAAAGGCTTAGACTCGGCTGGGCCTCATGTATGCAGTGGACCGCTGTCATCCCCTCAGGGAGAGAGATAGGTCAGACTCCTGATTGCTGAAGGAGGTACCCAGGCTGGCAACTGTTACAGATGTGCTGTTTGCTGGGTCTTCAGGGATAAGAGGCTGAACCCTGGCCTGGTATTATGTAGGCAATATATCACATTCATCCCCTGAGTGGGTACCCAAGCTGGGCTGTTGCTGGGTCTTCAGGGATAAGAGGCTGAACCCAGGCCTGGCTTCATGTAGGCAGCATATCGCATTCATCCCCTGAGGGGGTACCCAAGCTGGCCTGTTGCTGGGTCTTCAGGGATAAGAGGCTGAACCCTGGCATGCAGTGGACCATTTTCATCCCTTAAGGGAGAGATTGGGTCCGACCCCCGGTCACTAAAGGGGGTACCCAGGTTTGCAGTATTAACAATAGTGCGTTGCTGGGTCTTCAGGGCTTAGAGGCTGAACCCCGGCATGGCTACAAAAATATTGCCTGGTGAGCATAAAAGAAAATCTAGGCCTGCATAAGCAGACTCCTTCCAAACTGCTGTGAAGGACAGGAAAAAAAGACTGCCTGATAGGAAGGGGGAGGATCTATTTATACCAGTTTCAGAGTTCTATTTCCTGTCCTTTCTGCTGTGAGGGGAGGAGCTAACCCATGAGTAAATGCTGCCATGAATAATGTCAGGAAAAGATGGTTTGCATCTTTCTCAAAAGGGAACAAATGTTCTCAGTGAGCAGTTCAGAGGTTTTGCTAGGATGTATTTAAACTAAGAGGGGGGGGCAAAAGGGTGATAAAACATCAATCCAATTGTCCCCCAAAAGAAGGACAGAAGGTGCCTGCAGCAAGTGTGTTAAAAAATGATAAGCTTAGAGTCATGTCTACAAATGCTCGCAGTTTAGGGAATAAGATCCATGAACTTGTGGCAATAATGGCAACTGATAGTGTAGATTTAGTCGCTGTTACTGAGACATGGTACAATGAGAAAATGACTGGGACATAGCAATACCAGGGTACTCTTTATATAGGAAAGATAGGGAAGGCAAGAAAGGGGGAGGGGTGGCCTTGTATGTGAAGGATAGCATAAAATCTAGCCTAATAAAAGTTAGTGAGGCAAACATAGAGTCCGTTTGGGCTACATTAGAATTTGGTAATCACACAGTAACTCGTGTAGGTGTGATTTATAGGCCCCCAGGACAAATTGAAGAGTTAGATAATCTACTAGTTGAGGAAATAGCTAAAATGACAATGAAGGGGAAGTTATCATCATGGGTGACTTTAATCTTCCTGATGTAAATTGGAAAACAAAATTAGCTACTTGTGCCAGGAGCACACATATTCTAAACTCCCTACTGGGATTGTCTCTAAAACAAGTTGTTGAGGAGCCAACTCGTAAAGAGGCCATACTAGATTTAGTGTTAACAAATGGAGATTTGGTATCAGATGTTACTGTAGGTGAAAGTTTAGGATCCAGTGATCATCAGTCAGTGTGGTTTAATATAAGAACAGTGACTGAGTCACACCACACAAAACAAAAGTTTTAGACTTTAGAAAAACAGACTTTTCTAAAATTAGAATATGGGTAGAGGAGTCATTATCAGACTGGAGCAATTTAAATGGAGTCCAAGAGAAATGGGATTATTTAAAAGTTGCACTATTGAAGGCAACAGAAAATTGCATTAGGCTTGTCAGTAAAAGCAAAAAATTCAAGAAACCACTGTGGTACTCCGCAGATGTGGCCAAAATAGTTAAAAACAAAAAGTTAGCATTTAGGAATTATAAAAAAACCCAGAGTGAGGGAGACAAAATGATCTATAAGATTAGGCAGAAAGAGGCTAAGCAAGTTATAAGAGCTTCCAAATCACACACAGAAGAGAAAATAGCACAGTCAGTAAAAAAGGGGGATAAAACATTTTTTAGATACATAAATGAGAAAAGAAAAGTAAAACAAGGATTAGTTAGATTAAAACAAAAGAAGGAAGGTATGTAGAAGAGGATAAAGGTCAGGCTGACTGCCTCAATGAATATTTTTGTTCTGTATTTACAGAAGAAAATGAAGGAAAGGGACCTCAGTTGAGAAAAAGGATAAATGAGTCATTTATTACACGTGAGTTTACAGAGGAAGAGGTTCTATTTCAACTGTCAAAAGTAAAGACAAATAAGTCAATGGGACCTGATGGAATACACCCAAAGCTATTAAAAGAGCTTAGTGGTGTACTAGCAAAACCATTAACAGATTTATTTAACCAATCATTGTTAACAGGAGTAGTCCCAGAAGATTGGAAGTTAGCGAATGTTGTGCCCATTTACAAGAAAGGTAATAGGGAGGAGTCGGGCAACTATAGGCCAGTAAGCCTTACTTCAGTAGTGGGGAAAGTGATGGAAACCATGTTAAAGGATAGGATTGATGAACATCTAAAAACACATGGATTTCAAGATCAGAGACAACATGGCTTTACTTCAGGGAGATCATCTAAAAACACATGGATTTCAAGATCAGAGACAAAATGGGTTTACTTCAGGGAGATCATGCCAAACTAATCTTATTGATTTTTTTGATTGGGTAACTAAATTATAGATCATGGTGGTGCAGTAGACATTGCTTACCTAGATTTCAGTAAGGCTTTTGACACTGTTGCACATAGAAGGCTTATCAATAAACTGCAATCTTTAAGTTTGGATTCAAATATTGTTGAATGGGTAAGGCAGTGGCTGAGTGACAGGCAACAGAGGGTTGTAGTTAATGGAATATATTCGAAGCTTGGACTTGTCACCAGTGGGGTACCTCAGGGATCTGTACTTGGACCCATTCTCTTTAATATTTTTATTAGTGATATTACAGAAGGTCTTGATGGTAAGGTATGTCTTTTTGCTGATGATACTAAGATATGTAACAGGGTTGATGTTCCAGGAGGGATAAGCCAAATGACAAATGATTTAGGTAAACTAGAAAAATGGTCAGAATTGTGGCAACTGACATTTAATGTGGATAAGTGCAAGATAATGCATCTTGGACGTAAAAACCCAAGGGCAGAGTACAGAATATTTGATAGAGTCCTAACCTCAACATATGAGGAAAGGGATTTAGGGGTGATTATTTCTGATGACTTAAAGGTAGGCAGACAATGTAATAGAGCAGCAGGAAATGCTAGCAGAATGCTTGGTTGTATAGGGAGAGGTATTAGCAGTAGAAAGAGGGAAGTGCTCATGCCATTGTACAGAACACTGGTGAGACCTCACTTGGAGTATTGTACACAGTACTGGAGACCGTATCTTCAGAAGGATATTGATACCTTAGAGAGGTTCAGAGAAGGGCTACTAAACTGGTTCATGGATTGCGGGATAAAACTTACCAGGAAAGGTTAAAGGATCTTAACATGTATAGCTTGGAGGAAAGACGAGACAGGGGGGATATGATAGAAACATTTAAATATATAAAGGGAATCAACACAGTAAAGGAGGAGACTATATTTAAAAGAAGAAAAACTACCACAACAAGAGGACATAGTCTTAAATTAGAAGGACAAAGGTTTAAAAATAATATCAGGAAGTATTACTTTACTGAGAGGGTAGTGGATGCATGGAATAGCCTTCCAGCTGAAGTGGTATAGGTTAACACAGTAAAGGAGTTTAAGCATGCATGGGATAGGCATAAGGCTATCCTAACTATAAGATAAGGCTAGGGACCAATGAAAGTTTTTAGAAAATTGGGCAGACTAGATGGGCCGAATGGTTCTTATCTGCCGTCACATTCTATGTTTCTATGTTTCTATGTTGTAGTCCTAGGGAAAAGTCAGATATCCACATAGCAACAGATGACCAGCACTCACGGATTCATGAAAAGGTTAAAACATCCAAAGTTTAATGAAAAATAAAAAACAAGAAAGACAGCTCAACGTTTCAGTCCTCCTCCGGGACTTTCATCAGGAACAATAATGTTGTCTCACAATACCCATGCATAAATAGGCACAGCAATTAAGATAATTGGTAATTAAAATCAGCAAAGAATTAGCATAGTTATCAAGTACATTCAAAAGGAGTAATCCTACCTGCCAGTGTATCATTGCAGAAACCGCCGGCGTCTTCAGAACGCCTATGCGCATGCGTGCCCAAGGCCCCTCCCATGTCAACGTGACCGCACAACGTCCGTTGCCACAGCAACCGGACACAACCCCGGCTCATCGTGACAATGAGATCGTCGGCGATCACTGAAAGCCAATGTAGTATATGGTGGCCTGAAGTACTAGGACATCAAAGAATATAGTGAATGAATGAATAGTGCATTTGTTCCATTATCAGAAGGCTTGTATGTATATTCATACAGGCTCCGCCCCTCGTCAGCATGGATGCGTGACGTCAGTTGCCATCGAGACCGGAAACAACGCTATATCCTATCAAAGTATGGTCAATATATCCAAGGATATTTTCGTTATATTGACGATCTGCTTTTGCTCTGGAGTGGTAGTACCATAGAGGCTATGGATATGGTACAGGCACTTAATCAGATTGAAAGTCCCATCAAGTTTACGTCTAACATCAGCTCGACAGCAGTACAATTCTTGGATCTAGAAATAGCTATTACAAATCAGTGTTTATCATATTGTCTCTATAGCAAACCTACTGATAGGAATACCATTTTACATAGCACTAGTGCACATCCGGTGGCATTGAAGAGGTCTTTACCTAAAGCTCAATTTCTGCGAGTGATTCAAAATAACTCGGATGTGAATATCATGGAGGAACAACTTAAAGCGATGATGGAGAGATTCCTTGAACGCGGCTACCGACGAAATGACCTAGTGAGAGCATTAGAAGAAGCTAAGATAGCCAAGAGCCAAGGACGGAGCCCCAAGGTTGGTTTTTCCAGTCACTTATCATGATGCTTCCATGGAAATCACAAGGATTATCAAGGACAATTGGAAAATGTTGTCATGTGATGACACACTTCCCAAGGTTTTCAAAGAACCTCCCCTTATCTGCTATCGAAGGAATAAAAATCTAAGGGACCTGTTGGTACATACGGACCCCTCGAAAAGCTATGAGAACACTGAGATGCAGCCTCGGGGAAGTATCTGCTGCCTTGGATGTGTGACTTGTGGGCACATGACACCTTCAACTACTTTCCAACATCCACACAGTAATAAGATTTTTCAAATACGACATACGATCACCTGTAAGACCCCATATGTGATTTACAAATTGTCGTGTCCGTGTGGCCTCTTTTATATAGGCAAAACGGAAACCCCTCTGTGTGAAAGAATTAGGGGACACAGGTCGAGTATCAGGGTAGCCTACCGTGATGGTACCTCTGATCAACCTGTAGCCAAACATTTTCTTTTCCATCAACATCCCTTGTTAGCCCTTAAGTTTCTGGCCATTGACCATATCCCTCCACTTAAACGTAGTGGGGATAGAGGCAAGCTTCTCTTGAATCGTGAGACATTTTGGAATTACACATTAGGCACCATAGCCCCTAAAGGCTTGAACGAAATGATTTCATATCACTCTTTTATTTAATTCTGTGCTACTGTTGTTGTTTTCAACTATAGCTAGCATGGTCTAGGTTTACATTTACTTAATAGATGTATTTACTTGATTTTTTTATTTTAGTTCTATATTTTACCATTGCAGAACCGCCTGCCCCTTTAAATGGCTGTTTATTACTAGCCACAATCTATTTAATTTAGTACATAATAGGATGATCTGGCCTTATGGATCATAAGCACTAACACTTTATATTTCAATATAATAACTGAGATCATAACTTATATGTATTTGCTTATTCTCTGCTTAGTAGTCACTCTATGCACTTTTTGATGACTTGGTCCTATAGTTTATTGGCACTTGACACTTTTGCTTAATATGCCATATATAGAGATTATGCTGCATATTTATTTGTTATTTTCTGGATATCAGTCACTTTGGTCATTTTTTACATGTCTTTTCAGGTGGTTTTTTGCAATAGTTCATACTTAGATTTTACTTTATCTTACTTTCACTTTACTTATATCACTGCTTTATTAGTCACATAGATACACTGTTTATCTTTGTATCCACTGGATTTGTTCTGCGTGCTTGCTTCCGGCGTCTTGGTTGCCAGGGTGAGCTGGTATTGTTTACGGTCTCCATGGCAACTGACGTCGCGCATCCACGCTGACGAGGGGCGGAGCCTGTATGAATATACATACAAGCCTTCTGATAATGGAACAAATGCACTATTCATTCATTCACTATATTCTTTGATGTCCTAGTACTTCAGGCCACCATATACTACATTGGCTTTCAGTGATCGCCGACGATCTCGTTGCCACGATGAGCCGGGGTTGCGTCCGGTTGCCGTGGCAACGGACGTTGTTCGGTCATGTTGACATGGGAGGGGCCTTGGGCACGCATGCGCATAGGCGTTCTGAGGACGCCGGCGGTTTCTGCAATGATACACTGGCAGGTAGGATTACTCCTTTTAAATGTACTTGATAACTATGCTAATTCTTTGATGCTAATTTTTTGCTGATTTTAATTACCAATTATCTTAATTGCTGTGCCTATTTATGCATGGGTATTGTGAGACAACATTATTGTTCCTGATGAAAGTCCCGGAGGAGGACTGAAACGTTGAGCTGTCTTTCTTGTTTTTTATTTTTCATTAAACTTTGGATGTTTTAACCTTTTCATGAATCCGTGAGTGCTGGTCATCTGTTGCTATGTGGATATATATATATATATATATATATATATATATATATATATATATATATATATATATATATATAGTGTGTGTATATGTATATATGTGTGTGTATGTATATATATATATATATATAGTGTGTGTATATATATATGTGTGTGTATGTATATATATATATATATATAGTGTGTGTATATATATATGTGTGTGTGTGTATATATATATATGTGTGTGTGTATATGTGTATATATATATTTCCTGGCCATATCCATGGCAGCACAACAATGGGTAGCTCCTCCCCTATCCCTAGTTAGACAGGAACTAATTAAAATAAGGGTACAAATAACCCCTCCTACCTCCTCCTCCCTCAGTCTTTTTGTTCCTGTCCTATCCCTATAGGACCAAATTAGTCTATTTTCAGGACTATAATCACCTTTCTTTTATGGCTTACCTGAGGGTTTTTGCCTTCTGTCCTCAAGGAAGTTCAGCCTCTCTTCCTTGGGAAGCTTCAGTATCCGGCCCTGTGCAAAGGTGTCCCCCTGAAGATACCCCCTTAGTGACCGGGGTTTTTACTTGCAGTGACCCTAGGGGTAGCAAGAGAAAAAATGCCAAATAACTCTGATTCCCTGCAGTGACCAAGAGGTAGCAGGAAGTGGCAAGAAGACTTTATCCTGGATGGATTTCTACATATTGAAACAGCCCACATGTATGTATGTACAAATACTTTTTACCATATATATACTGTATTTGTTAAATCATATGTGTGGGTTTTCTCCCCCCCTGCCTATTATTTCTATGTACCTTTTTCATTTCTTTCACGCCTTCTCGGCGTCCTGTTTGTCCGGGTGCGCATGTGCGCCGTTTTGCGCGCACGCTAAACACCGCGCATGCGTCTGGTCCCCGTGAGGCAGTTACAGTGCCTCGTACTCGGAAGTAGCTTCCGGGTTTGTGCCGCGCATGCGCAGTTAACGAGCGGTGAATTTGCTCGTTTTGAGCATGCGCGGATAGGCGGTGACGTCAGATATGACGTCACACGCCACTTTAAGCGCCAAAATTGAATTAAATTGTTACCTGATGTCCTCATTAGGTCTTTAGAGGACCTGTTTTCATACAGTTCTCAATTTGAATTGCGTTTCAATTTTACAGAAAATATCTGAAGGTAAGCTTTACTTCTTAAAGGTATATACACATTTTTTCATTTCTTTACTCCTTTCTTTCTATAACAATAAAAATTCCTTTTATAGACTGTTCATAATCAACTCCAAAATGGAGAAAGACAAAAGGAGATCAATTTCTTCTGATTCGGACTCTTCTGGATATAAAAATAGGTCACACTCTAAGAGTTATAGGTAAGCCATATCACATCATTTATTTCCTTTCCGGAATATGATACATGAAATAAAAGAGTGCTAATATGAGATATTTCCCTATCATCATAGTTCTACGGGAAAGAAAACAGTGAGATCATCCAAAGGAAAATCTCCACAGAAAAATCAATGCGAAGCCTGTAATAATAAACCGCTGGAAGGCAAACGGTTATGTGCAGAATGTTTATCTGAAGTGGCTGGAACATCTAATCCTTCAATGGAATTTGTACATTTCATAAAACAAGCGGTGGCTCAAGGTATCAAAGAAGCAGGGGCAAATCACAAAAGACCCCGGTTACATGAACCTTCGGATTATCAACATAATGATTCGTCAGATGAATCCATGGATATGGAATCATACCAGGGGAATTTCTTATCTTCAGACGAAGAAGAAACTCAGGCCCCTGCAGATTTTCTAGAACCTGCTCAGATAGACCACCTCATTTACAAAGTCCGTAAATCTTTGAGCTTGAAGGAGGCAGTTGCAGAGCAGTCAACCTCTTATCGTTATTTCTCAGACTTGAGAAAGAAAAGAGCAACCTTTCCAGTGCATGATACTATTAAGAAACAGAAAAAGAAAAAAGTTAACTGTACGTGTTATCTAATAAGGAAGTACCCAAGGTTTTAAAGTGTACCCTTACAAACACTTAAAAAACACAATAGTGAAAAAAAGAAAAAACCAAAGGTACAAAGCAGTATAAATCACCAAAAGTGACACAAAATAATAAATATATACAAACTGGGTATGTGGAAATATTCTGTTTTGGAATATATCTGAAAATACATAAAAACTATATAGTGTGATATTATGTCCAAAATAGGAGCATAAATAGTAGAGAACTCACAAAATTAGATGAAATCAGGCGTATCTCCCAAAATAGGGAACTGTAGCAATCTGGAGGACCTCCAGCGATGATCTTATAGTAGATTTTTTTCATTCACTCCAAGTAAAAACAAAATAGATAGTGTAGATGGTACAAAATATAACAATTTATTATAAATAAGTTGCACTTACAATGTTGCAAGTTAAAACCAGCGTGTCTCCACTCCAGGTGGTGTTCACATGCAATAACTGATCCAATGGCAGCCCAGGATATTAGACAGCAGCAAAGAATGGAGAATACAAATGAACAATAAAATAAATAAATAAAAAGTAGAATAAAAAGTTCCAACGCGTTTCGTCCGTCTAGGGACTTTATTTTTTATTTTTATATTTATTTTCATCTTTATTTTTATTTTTATTTTATTTTGAGATTTATATTTATTTTTATTATTTATTTTTATATATATTTTTAGATTTATTATTATTTTTTCTGATTGGTCCATACTTGATTACTAATATTTGTTTTCTATTCTAGACATTTTTCTTCATAAAAAGAATTTTTCTTACATAATTTTTTCAATATATAAAGTTTAATAATATACACAATATGTTTGTTACTGATACTCTTTATATAAAGGGATATGTTTTTGTAAAGAGATGGATAATAGAAACAAATGGATTTGATAGTTTTTTATTTTATATCATTGTATACCTTTTATATTACTATATTATTCCAAACAATAAGTTTTCTCCATTTTACTGTTAATAATATTGTATCTTGAAAATTTAAATTTATATGAATTATACTGTGAGAATATAAGAATACAAATTTCTCAACACTTATATTGTATATCATTAAGAACATCTCCATTGTTAATATTTTTCATCTCTATGTTGATTATTGTACCATATCATATGTCTAATTCTTTATACAACTCCAGTTCTTTTACTGGACTGTTGGGGAATTAATATATTAGTGAGGAGAGTTTTTCTCAGCTGTTACTGATAGTGCCAGCTCAAGAATTGTGGTTTTACATCGGGTCCGTGAAACCGGAAGTGACGTCATGCGGAAGCAGAATGCGTTCCACAGTGGAACGCACGCCGACACCGGCGAAGGATTTACTAATTTATGGTGGATATAAAAGAGGATTTTTCTTCCTATCAGCATCACATATGCCTGATGAAGTCCCTAGACGGACGAAACGCGTTGGAACTTTTTATTCTACTTTTTATTTATTTATTTTATTGTTCATTTGTACTCTCCATTCTTTGCTGCTGTCTAATATCCTGGGCTGCCATTGGATCAGTTATTGCATGTGAACACCACCTGGAGTGGAGACACGCTGGTTTTAACTTGCAACATTGTAAGTGCAACTTATTTATAATAAATTGTTATATTTTGTACCATCTACACTATCTATTTTCTTTTTACTTGGAGTGAATGAAAAAATCTACTATAAGATCATCGCTGGAGGTCCTCCAGATTGCTACAGTTCCCTATTTTGGGAGATACGCCTGATTTCATCTAATTTTGTGAGTTCTCTACTATTTATGCTCCTATTTTGGACATAACAATATCACACTATATAGTTTTTATGTATTTTCAGATATATTCCAAAACAGAATATTTCCACATACCCAGTTGGTATATATTTATTATTTTGTGTCACTTTTGGTGATTTATACTGCTTTGTACCTTTGGTTTTTTCTTTTTTTCATGATACTATTAAGGAATTAATTAAAGACGAGTGGTCTAATACAGATAAGAAGCTTTCAGCACAAGGCAGAATATCTCGCCTCTATCCTTTTGACAAGTCTGATTCATACCATTGGGATAATGCCCCTAAGGTGGATGCGGCAGTAGTTCGACTCGCAAAACATACCACATTACCAGTAGATGATGCAGGCTCATTTAGACACCCAATGGACAAAAGATGGATCTGCATCTCTCAAAAGCTTATGTAGCAGCAGGGACTGGTTTTCACCCTGCAATAGCCCTTACTTCAGTGTCCAGGGCCTTAAAAATCTGGATCGAAAACTTGGAAGAAGATATCAGAGATGGGAGAAACAGATCTTCTCTTCTGGAAAGATTAAATGATATTAAACTGGCCGTTGACTTTACCTCAGAATCCTCGGTGGACATGGTGAAAGCTTTAGCAAGAAACATGGCTCTTTCAATTTCAGCTAGAAGAGCTTTATGGCTGAGATCCTGGTCTGCAGATTCATCATCAAAGTCTAGTCTATGCGCCCTTTCTTTTCATGGTGAGATGTTGTTTGGTAAAAATCTAGACGAGTGCATCAAAAGAGCTGCAGAAGGTAAAAAAGCCTTTCTCCCACAAGACCGGAAAACCCGTGGATCCTTTCGAGCCAGAAGATACTCTGAATACCCCTCTTTTCGTGATACCAGATCTTATAAACCAGGAAGAGAATATGGAAGATCTATTCCATGGAGAGGAGGACATTCATCCAACAGAGGAGGAAAGTCTAGAGGTTCCTCATTTCACAAGAAGCCTTTATGACAAACCCACCTCCCATTCTGGAGGAGTAGGTGCCCGTCTACTCCTATTCCAGAATATGTGGAAACATTCAACTCAAGACAGATGGGTGCTGGATATCATACAAAGAGGTTATCTTATAGAATTCTCCACAAGGCCGCCACCTCGCTCCTTCCAGAAGACAATCTGGCCAAGAGATGTAGAAAAAAGAAATTCCCTAAAAAGGTTTATCTCATCCCTTCAAGAAGATGGAGTTATCGTTCAAGTTCCAAGAGCTCAACGAACACATGGGTTTTACTCCCATATCTTTCTCACCAGAAAATCCACAGGGGGATGGAGACCAATATTAGACCTAAGCAGACTAAACAAGTTCCTAAACATAAGGAAATTCAAGATGGAGTCTCTTCAATCCATTGTAAAAGCAGTTTTTCCAGATCAATGGCTCATGTCAATAGACCTGGCAGATGTGTATTTCCATATTCCCATAGCACCCCAGCATCAAAAATTCCTCAGATTCGCTGTGGAAGAGGGTAATTTTCAGTTCCGTGCTCTCCCTTTTGGGCTAAGCACTGCTCCGCGTACTTTCTCAAAAGTTCAGGTGGTTCTAAACGCAGAACTCAGGAAGAAAGGCATTGCAGTATATCATTACCTCGACGACATCTTGATTCTGGCAGAAAACAGAGATATATTAGAAGATCACGGCCTGATATGTATACAGTATCTTCAACAACACGGATGGAAGATCAATTTCGCCAAAAGCAACCTAAAGCCATCCCAGAGCATGATATATCTAGGAGTAGCATTCAACACTGCAGAAGGTTCTGTCCAACTATCCCCAGAAAGGGGTATGAAAATTCGGAAAAAGGTCAAAGACATGTTAGCATCCAGTGTTTCCTCAGTAGAGACAACTATGAGCCTCCTGGGATCAATGTCCTCCACCATAGGACTTACAAGATGGGCCCAATGGAGAATGAGGCCTTTCCAAAGGAATTTCCTTTCTCAATTCAAGGGCAATCTGTCTCAACCTATAATGATCCCTCCTCACGTACAAGAATCCCTGAAGTGGTGGACTCAGAAAGAGTCTCTCTTCAGAGGTTATCCCTTAGGAAATATTCCATGGATCATCATCACCACAGATGCCAGTCAATGGGGCTGGGGAGCCCATCTTCAAGACAACTATGTTCAGGGGAAATGGGCATTTTCAACTTCCAACACCCCTTCGAATCTTCTAGAACTTGTGGCAGTTTTCAAGGCTCTAATGCACTTCCAGCAACTTTTACTCCACAAATGGGTCAAGATCAGGACAGACAATGCCACAGTTGTGGCATATATAAATCACCAAGGAGGGACGAGAAGTTGCAGAATGATGAAAATTATGAAACCTTTGATGTCCTGGGCCCAAATGAATTTGGAGAATATCTCTGCAATACATCTCCCAGGAACTCAGAACTCTGTGGCAGACTTTCTCAGCAGGGTAAGATTAGACCCGGGAGAATGGAGTCTATCAGACATAATATTTCTACAGATCGTAGAAAAATGGGGCCTTCCCCAGATAGATCTAATGACTACAAGCAACAACAGAAAAGTCAAGAACTTCTTTTCGAGAATTCCAGATCCCCAAGCCATAGGAAGGGACGCATTGACATGCAGTTGGAACTTCGACCTGGCTTATGCCTTTCCTCCGAAACCCCTCATCTTCCCTCTGCTAAGGAGACTACGACAAGAGAAGGCATCACTGATTCTAATAGCCCCTTTTTGGCCTCGCAGACCTTGGTTCCCGCTCCTACTAAGTCTGTGCAAGAAGGATCCATGGCATCTTCCAGTTGTCCCATTCCTGCTACATCAGAGTCCAATTCATGATCCAAACCCAGCATCTCTTTGTCTGATGGCATGGTACTTGAAAGGGAAGGGTTAAAGAACAAGGGGTTTTCGAGATCAGTAATCGAGACACTTCTTCAAGCAATGAAAAAGTCCACTTCATTCACTTACTACAGAATATGGGATGTATTTTCTTCATGGGCCAGTTCAAGACCCTTTGATATTTTGAACCCTTCA